GTGTAACAATAACAGCAGCTGTTTTTCTGGGTCAGAAAAGAAGTGTGATGCATTTATATGTTGGCTCAGTGGATATTTTCAGCTTTTTTAAACTACTTTTTACATTTCTGTACATCTAATGAAACATTTGATTGAAAAAGAAGGCAGAATTTGATTAAAACAGATACTTGACCTTTTAACCCATAGCTAGACTTCACTGTCCCTGAGGGAAAATTAATTTTCACTGCTCTGTGCACACACTACGTGACAGACAGCTTTATATAAGGTACGACAGAATGCCACATAACAACCACGGGCAGGACAACATGAAAGCAACACACCCTACACCCTGTTTAGTGTGGCTATAACTGCGAGGACTGGGATTTTGCCAAAAGGAGCCGTTGTGCTCTACAGGGTTCTGTACCTGAACCAAAAGAGCAGTGACGTGGGCAGTGAGTGGGAGTGAGAGGATCTGTGCTGTGGTATTTGTGACGGCCGTAAATTGAGGTCTGAGAGGTTGGGTGGGGCGAGACCTACTGTCTTAGCAGCAGTTTGGGTTTTGCGGTGAAGACGCAGGTGGAGCAGGACAGGACGGACTGAACAATACTGTGACACAGCAGTAGAAGGAGACGGTGGGCGACATATGCTCCTTTGAGTTTACAGATATCTGTCTTTAAAAACAACCTTATTGATGTTTTTTCTGGTCATTTTTCCCTTCAGGTGAAGGAATAAGACAGATAAGAAAAGAACCAATATTCTAAAAAGATGTCCATAATATCATGTTTGCTGTATTTTTCTCGGAGATGTGTTTCAGCCAAGAGTAATCACATTTTGTGTTTTTTTTGTGGGGAAAAAAAAAAGATGCTGATAATGTTGTGCAGCTGTGGCTGGTATCTGTGACTGATCTGTGAGTTATATATGAGAAAACAGCCTCGGATACGGTTCAAGCCGCGGTTATGTCAAGACATTTGGCAAATAAAGCGAGCGTGGTGTATCAGAGGAGAGTTTTGTAGCCTGTTTGAATCGTGATAGACGTGCACTGAAGCTAAAACTGAACTGCAAAAAGTCCAGTAACATTTAAGGCAATTCACTAATGCTGATTTTCTATGTAAATTCTTCCTGTATCTTAAGATTTTCGCTCAATCATGTCAAACTGTAACCACAAAAATGCATCTCGTGACTCAAGAAAAATCTGCTTCAACACACAAAATTTGTTTGAATTGTCGTTTACAAAATCAGATTTGGATCCATTCTTTCACAACTGCAATGAAGCTGTGCTTGTGGTGCTTTCACATTTATTCCTAAAGCCTTTTATGTCTTATGCAAAGCACTTTGAATTGCCAAGCTGTTAAAAGGTGCTATGCAAATATACTTGTTGTTATTGTTGCATTTGAAGTCATAAATACACATCCACGTTTCGGCAAAATCGCAAAGTCTCTACTGCCTCAGAAATATTCACACTTGCTGTGGTGTTTCAAGATATTTTAAAGTCTTCAGGATTATCCATGCAGTGCCAAATGTTGTGCCCCAAGGGGACCTGGGTAGTGCACCCCTGTTTATGCAAAGTCAAGAACTGACGCCTCAGAGGAAAGTTAAAGGAAATAAGGGCATCACGCACTCACCCCGAGCACACTGCTGGGCTGTGAACACAATTTGACAACAATTTAAAAACACAATTCTTGTGATTTTATGCATTCAATCTAGTGCCGTCTTTGGCGTCTTATCCTGACCTACATATTCTGCACAATGGGGAAAAGCAGAGCAGACAAAATAAGAAAGACAGACCGTGGCGGTGCAGAGGGGGGAAGAAGGAAAAAGAAAAAGAAAAAAAAAAAAAAACGAGCTGATAAAGTAGGAGATGGAAGTCTCTGTGCGGTGGAAAGAGGAGAAGTGCTGTTGTTGAGCAGCAGAAGTGTAGCATGAGGAGCACAGGATGTCATGAAATATGTAGGAAGGAGCAGCTCAGCACCGGAACACAAAGCCATTAAAGAAAGCTCTGGAAAACGCAGTCAGCTAGAAATATAAATGTCCATTTCCTTATCGTTCATAGATACAGACACAGCTAAGAGCACATACGCTCTTTTCACAGCCGTGGGGCCCCTGCATCCGAGCTGCTCCGGGTGAAAAGGCACACTTTAATATTCTCTGACGTGTACACGCAGTTTAACACACTTTTGTGCTCTCAAAGACACAAGCACACAAGCGTACACGCATGTGAGCACTAAACACAAAGACACAGACACTACTCACTCCCCTCCTTCTCTTCCCAGTGCACCTTATGGTGTTTAGTAAATCATTAATTGGGTACATGCAGAAGACCGGCAGGACAGTTAGTCTGACATGCAGTGAGTTTTATTGAGTCTGTTCGGGGTCAAGCAGCAGAGCCGAGGCAGCAGAGAACCTCTTCTGAGGGCAGTTCGAGATGGGATGAGGTGCTGCTCGGCTCACTCGCCGCGCTCTCAACTCGCCGGGATGTCAACAAGCTGGGGTTGCTTTGGAGGATTTGGTGCAATGCTGAGGATGTAACAGAACTGTATAGGATATAATAATGTGGCGTGTTGTGCAGTTCAGCATTGCACATGTTTTCTTCTTCTTTTTTTTGTTTTTTAAAATATGTGCTCTATAATTATGAGTCATAATTTGGCAGATTAACAGGATTTTACTTCTACCTCTCTGGCAGCAGCTGCAGCTCGGGGCTGGAGGGGCTGCGAAGTCACACAGGATGCAATTTGTTTGAGAAAACAGGAAAAATTTCTATGCTCCTTTTGTTCTGGCAGCCCAGAGAGGTTTCAGTTATAAAACTCCAAAGAGAATAGTTAAAGCATCCACTGACTGAAGCCAGTGATCGGGTTTGATCTCCCCGGAGTTGACTGGAGCTGCTGGTTTGAGCATCACTTGTCTGCTTAAGTTACAAATCCAAATTATGTCACCAGCTAATGAAGGTAGCGACATAGAAGCCACTTAAAGCTGAACATCAGCCACACCTTCTACACTCTGCTTTTATCTGATAACATTTTAGTATAGAACTTGCATCTTCCTGCTTGTATTATTCATGAGCCAGACTTTGAATTTTCAAGACAAGGAGGAAAGAGAAGCATTTTTTTTGAGGGATGTAGTTACTCATTGTTCAATAAAGGCACCGACTGGTCATTTTTAAGGAAAGAAAAAGCTGTAAATGAGTTGCAGCCTTGATCATCTCTGTTCCTCGTGCTGTCTCAGACTCATTTAAACCTAATAACTCCACTCGAAAAAGCTCATATTTGTAAACTATTAAGTTTAGAGTTTAGAATATATCTCCAGTAAGAAAACAAAAAAAAACAACCCTGCATTTCCAAGAACGGCCTTCGATTTATCTTGACAGTGCAGCCACTTCTCAGCTGTACGGTGACTTTCTTGGCTGTCTAACTGGCTGGAAACAACATCATCCCCTCCAGGGCAGACAACAGAAAGCGCACAAATATGCACAACTGTGTTACTCTCTCGCCCACACTCGGCTTCACATGAATTATTGCAATCAATATCCCAAACAGTAGTAGTTTCCGTCCCTGACATCATTACTATCATCACCACCACACCCATGGAGCTCCATCATATCCTCTAAGTTCATCCCCAACTTCTCTCCAAGAGTCTCTCCATCATCACTCAACTCATCACTATTGCTGTTTTTTTTTTTCTCCACTACATGTCTGGTTTGGAGCAAAAGCAGACACCTCTCTAGTAAATCACAGCAGCAGCAGCAGCAGCAGCATGGAAACATGGTCCTTCTAAAGAAATGATGATGATGATGCTGATGATAATATAATCAGAGAAACAATCATCAATAATGGGCTTTTAGAGGTTTCAATCGATAGTTTTAATTCATCCGCAGTGCTTCGGTAAATAAATTAAAGGAATTTCGTCTACTGCGTCCACGTGATGTTTGCAATAGCCACAGAGCACAATGCATGGAGCTGGATGAGGCGCTCGTCTACCTGAATGCTGCAGGAGATCTCGGAGTCGTCCAGTAACCGGATCGTGCACAGGACCTCCTGGTCCAAGGAGCGGATGCTGGGGCTGCGAAACCGGAGCATTTTCATCCTTCTGTCGGTTCTAGTTTCAGCTCCTCATGCCGGCGGTTCCACAACAGACAGAGCAGACGCGCGCACGGGAGGCTGCTCACACGGAGGACATGCAGACGTGCGCCAAAGCCACATGTATGTGCCGCTCAGCCTCAGAGTCTCGTCACCCCTTGAGACGCCCTTGGTGATGAATGGGTGGATGGAGAGGTGGATGGATGGATAAGAGGATGGAGGGATGCAACAGAGCGGGAAGGAGGAGTGAGGAGGAGTGAGGAGGAGAGCTCGTATCCGTCTCCTGCCTGCCCACTGATGGATCTATAGGATGGAGGATGGCTTTCTCCCTTCCCTCTCTCTCCCTCTCTCTCTCTCTCCCTCTGGCTCAACCCCACTTCACTTGTCTCTTCAAATTTCAACATGAACCTTCACATTGTAATCACAGGCTTATGTGCTGGTTCTGGTGAATATATGTATATATTATAATAATTTCATGTTTTTATAATTCAGGAAAAATATTTGTGTGCTCTGCTCGTCCAGGTTTTTAAAGGTTAATAAACAATATGTAAGCATGTGATTTTTTTTTAAAGGCAACTGATTTAAATGTTTAAGATAAAAGCTATATTTTCCTAAGTGCATATAACAATCGTTGGAAAAACAGCATTATATAATTTCAAAAACGACCTTTTACTTGTGATTGGCTTGTGTGTTAGATGATGGGATTTTGACTAATAAATCACAGTATCATTAATTATTTCAGTAGATGATTAAAAAAGAAAAAAAAACATAAACAGCTGTGACCCAAACTGCGTGTGTCTGTGATTATTTAATTTCCACTGATAGTGACGTCAAAGACAATTTAGACGCCATCTGAGCGCGCGCTGCCCCTTTAATTGCAAACGTAACCGACGTGCTGTTCGTGCGTCACCACGCACCTCAGAAAACAACCCGCGGCCATGAAGCAAAGTACACACGAGACGCACAGCTTCCGCAGCTTCACTGACTGTTCGTATGATTCCGTTTTATTCCTCTAACTGCTCGCCTCAAACTGCAGCTTTTTTTTTTGTTAATCAGCGGCTGAGAAAGCTTCAGTGTGTTCACATGTTGTGCTCATAACAGGCTGCACATGCGCAGAGGTTTAGTGTGAACGGTGGAACCCAGAAGCTGCAGTGTAACGAGTTACATCAGGTGATGGAGTGTAACTAGGTACAAATTAGTGCACATTTAAGGTGAATGGACCCTAACGTGTTTTCATATCACAACACATCACTGCCACATCAGTTTGACAGCTATTAAACAGGTTATGTTGAGCTCATCAATAATGTATTATTAGGTCACTGTATGCACTCTGTTGATTGGAGGAAATCATTTTGCAAACGTTATGATCGTTATTTAAAATCCCTTCCCTGCAACATTTATTTGCAGGGAAGAGAATTTGCTGCTTTTTGAGAAACATTTTTTACAAACCAAACACTTCCTGAATCCAGACAGCAGTCAGCAGGTTGATCCATAAGGAGAATAATCACACGTTGCAGTCCTGTAAAATTGATCTCAGCCACCTGAAGCAGTGCGATCTTGTTTTTATATTAATGCATAAGTAATAATAATCTCATCATATGATACTCAACAGTCACTGTAGCCATTTATCTCCACAGTGTACTTTACCCTTTAATATTTTATTTCCTGATTAGACGTACAGACTTTGATTTAAGTAACATTTTAAATGCAGGACTGTTGCTTGTGATGGAGTTTTTCCACAGTGTAGTATTAGTACTGAGTTCTCCTTAAGTAAAGAATCTCAATATTCCCCTAACCGTGATCTAAATCAGATTTTTCTTCTTTTTCCATTTCAGGACAGGACCTTCCTTCAGGCATCTGAAAAGTCACAGACAAGATGATCTACATCATCATGGGAGTTTCAGGTTCTGGAAAGTATGTGTACCGTCTGTTTATATTTATTCAGTGCAGCTTTACAAGGTGACATCTCACATAAGAGGCACATTTACCAGAGTGCATCCAGCATGTGTACATTAGTGATTCCCACAAGGGAAAAAGAAATGGAGAAAATAAACAGGTTATTCATTTATGTTAGCAAGCATGAGGTGGCAGTTTATCAACTATTGATGTCCTGTTACATAATTAGTTACAGTACACTGGTGTCTATTTCCAGTTCGTTAAACAGTTAGCCAACTGCAGCACACTGATGCAATTTAACACCTAAACACTATAGGAGGCCTGCTAATAATGGTGTCCTAATGCTGAGCTGATGGTCTTAGATTACCTGTTTAATTCGACCACTGAGGGAGTGGAAATATTTACCTCTTGGCATGTTTGTATTGAAAAATGGATGAAATGATTTACAAGATAGCTTCCCATTAATTTGCCCATTAATTGGAAAATCAGATAATTCACTTGCAGTTTGATTTCTTATTTCCAGCACGTCTGTGACAGTGTTTTTGTCAAATGTTGTTACTGTATTAATCCTGTCTGCATGTCTTGTTCCTTTTTTTTTTTAATTACAGAAGCAGCTTAGGGATGTTTTTGTCTGAAAAGGTAATTAAAATCCCCCTTGTGCACACACACACACACACCTCCATCATACCCGTACACCTGACACTCACCTGTCCACGTGTGTTTACCCATCAGCTCGGCTGGCCGCTGCATGAAGGGGATAATTTCCACCCACAGGCGAACATCGACAAGATGTCTCGTGGTGAACCTCTCACAGACCAGGTTGGCCCATTTGTGTGTGTGTGTGTGTGTGTACATGAGTGTGTGTCCCTGGAGGAGTCTTGTCATCTCCAGTCAGTCATTTATGGAGTTCACCATTTCTCTGCTGTCATGACTAAATTATTCTCTCAACAAGTAGCTGGAGGGGGAGAGCAGACAGTGGAAGCTGCAGGGATATCTGCTGCTGAGCTTTTCATCACAGCCCACGTTCCCGAAACTCACTTGAGTCATTTATTTTCTGTTTGTTCAATATTTATCTGTTGTCCGTCCGTGCTGACTTTTAAAATAAAGGGAGACCTCCAAACAATCGGCTGGCAACCCGCCAACGTCGAGCATACGAGCCTACAGGCGGATCAGCCTCTGCCAACGTTTGGCAGCAGTTTGCTGGTAGCGGCGTTTGGTGGCTCATGATAACCTCCCACTCAGAAGTCTGCTTTGAACGGCGAGGAGAATTACCCGGGGACCCGCTCTGTCCAACGTTTTGGCATATTTTAAAAATAGTCAACAGTTGGCAGATTGAGAATAAATGATGAAGTGAAGCAGAAATGTAAATACAGGATTACTGTCAGGCTTTGGCAAAAATGTGTCTTTCATGCCAGTATTAGAGTTGGCAGGTTGGAGCTGGTGTAACCAAACAAGACATGTGAGTGCTCAGAAGCCTGCATGTAAGAGAATGAGATTCCTCTCAAAAAAAATGTGACTTCTGTTCAGCTGTAACCAAAATAGGGCCGATTCTATTTCGGATTGCAGAGTAATCAAAGATACGTTTGTGTCTGCCACGTCTGTCTGCCTGTTTGATTCCCTGATTGGTTCTTTAAAATACTATTTGTCCTTTAAAGAGCAAATATTGGCCTTAAATCTGAGCAGTCAGAACTACTGTAAACACGTGTTCTGCTTCCTTTTGCTCACTGCAGGTGAGTGTAGATACCTTTTCACATATATTTTTAATGTTTTCAAGACGTCCCTACATAGGTTGTGCTTTGTTATTTAAAGAATCAGCTCGTCTCAGCGGTGGCCAGTATAGACGTCCGTGTGATTGGATTCACGTATCCAGTTGCAGTAAAGCTGTACTCATGACCCCAAAAGGGAGGTAATGTCCTCTCTTGCTTTCCTCTGCAACCGAAGAGCTCAAAGCTGTAAACCCCGGAAACCAAGAAAATAATAAGATTTATTTTCCTTTGTTAAGTTGTTTTTAATTACCCTTTGAAGAGGACAATAATCTGCATCGTTTCTCAGGGTTTCTCTTTTTAGAATATTTTTGAGCCATTTATGTCTTTGTTAGGCAGCGCACAAGAGAGAAATTAGAGGAAATATGGAAAGAGGTAAATAAGGAACGACATGCAGCTAAGGTCAGTGGGTGATGCAGACTGGAGACGGTGCACGTCACAGTCGGCACTGTAACCCTCAGGCCACCGGGGCACACCTGGACATTTCCGGAAAAGGTTAAGAACTGCTTCTCTCTGCTTCTGAATTTTGAACAAAACAAAACATGCCAACTAGAAAATTTGAGTATTGCAAGGTACAGTCTGACTGAGCACCTCTGTAACCACAGTGCCTATAAGAACTATTTACACTCCTTGGAAGTGAAGTTGAATCAAGGTCAAATCTACGAGGTGTGTCAGAGAAGTTCCAGGACTGGTGTCACAAAAGATAAGATTAGACGATCCAAAAGCGCACCTACAAAGAGGTCCGCCGGCGTTCGCTTTGTTCAGTGCGCAAGAAGAGGCGAGAGTTGTGGCAGGACAAGTCGTGGCTGCTTCACCATGACGACGCGCCTGCTCACAACGCCCTGAGCATCCCATAGTTCCTGGCTGAGAAGAACATCGCCGTGCTGGAGCAACCTCCCTATTCACCCCACCTGGCTCCGTGAGGATTTTTTCCTCTCCCACAAGCTCAAGGGGGTCATCAAGCAGACCCATTTTGAAGACGTGGACGACATCAAGATGGCTGTGACGATGAAGCTGCAGAGGATCCCAGAAGAATCCTTCCAGGAGTGCATGGCGGCGTGGCAGAGAAGGCTGGGGATGTGTGTTGGACTCCAGGGGGATTACTTTGAAGGGGAAAACTTGTAGTTTGGATTTGAGATATATCTTTTGTGGCACCGGTCCTGAAACTTTTCTGACACACCTCATATTTATACAGTAACGTATTACAATAATTTACAAGAGTCTCTTTCATGTCAAAGTGAAAATGGATTATTACAAGTATTGTCAATTAATTAAGAATATAAAACAGAAAATAAGTATTCACCCCTTCTACAGTGACTCACCTAATTTAACACAGATGCAGCCAAACGGTGCTACAGGTCCCACAAATAGTGAAATGGAGATCATCTGTGTGCAGTGAATGTGTCTCAAGTGATTGCAGTATAAAGACACCTGTATCTGGAAGGTCCAGTCACTAGTGAATCACTACTTCTGCTTATAACTGCACTGTGAAGGCAGACGAACACTGCAAGCAACTCGGTGAAAAGACGAATTAAAAGCATAAGTCAGGGGATGGATAAAGGATTATTTCCAAGTTACTGAATATGTCTTGTGGTACAGTTAAACCCATCATTGAGAAATGGAAGGAATGTGGCACAGAAGTCTTTTTTCACTTTGACATGAAAGAGTCTTTGCTTTTTTTTTTTTTTTTTTGGAAATTCTTGTCAAAAAAAGCCAGAATGAATTGACCAGGTGTTACGACCCGGCTCAAGACGGCCGCAACAAAAGGAGAGACACACCAAGTTTCAAAAATTAAAGCTTGTCTTTATTCCCTTAAATTCTATCAAATTAAAACCAAACCAATATGGGGTTGTGAGACTACATAAAGTCAGTGGTGTGTGTGTGTGATGTATGCATGAATTATGTCTGTGCTAGTGTTGTAAATGCAAACGTCCTAAACAAAGAAAACTAACCCATGACCAGACCGATGCATACCTGCGGAGGGAAGCAGAGTAGAGAGAGATTAGACTGCAGTCAGCCCTTAAGTAACCCAGGAACACACTGGGTGTCACAGGTGCTATTGATTACCTCAAACAGCCACTCAGAGAACCAATAGCTGAACTTGAGCCACCCACAAGATACAAGATGACCTCAGGGGTCATCACACAGGATTCAATGTTAAAATGCAGCTAAAAGGGAAAACTTCCAAGGGGGGGTGAATATTTTTTAAAGGCACTGTACAATCTGACAATGTGTTAACAACAACAATATCTCTAGCTATCCTGTTGTTTATTTGTCTCCTCAGGACAGATTGCCTTGGCTTCTAAAGATACATGAAGTCATTGAAAGGTGAGAATAAACCATCTCTTACAGAAACACACACAAATACAGTCGTGTTTTCATCACTTCACAGGACGTTACATTGACTTAACGTTAATGTCCCGGAGACTTACCCTAACCTTAACCTCAAACCGAGTCTTCATACTAAAATGTAATAATTTACGTCACGGGGATTTGCTTCAAGTCCCCAAAAGGGAGGTGGGAGCCCACAATGCCACTGTATAAGCTGATTTATGCCCCCACAACTTCAGTCATACAAATACACACACCGAGATGATTTCACACAGACACCTTGGGGAAAAACACAACATATATTTTAATGACAGAAAGGAGAAGATGATGGGTTTAGAGAGTGAGACGGAGCTGAAGAGCAGAGCGGCGAGGTAAGAATATGCGGGCGTGAAATTGTCGAAAAAGATCAAAAATATCAAAGATGGTTTTGAAAATTGAGATGAAAACCAGAGAGCGAGGAGCGGGAGTTTGGGAGAGTAAAGACAGATTAAGTGAGTGAGAGTGCGGAGAAGAGGTGAGGGAGAAGTGGAAAGTGTGCCATCTTTTTCTTAAAACGTCTGTGGCAACATCAAAGGCTTCTTTTCCTTCACTCTTCCACACTCAATAGCACTTATTTCTCTCCGTCCGCTCATCCTTGTATCGCTCCTCACCTCCTACTTCTCTTATTCTGTTGGTCACCAAAGGTTGCTGTAGGTTTATTTAGTTTTACTGTTGTCCACACACCAGTTAATCTCATTCACTAACTGTGGTTTCTCATGGCAGTGAAAGGTGTTCCTGCTCGGATGCCCTGGTGGCCTGCTCCGCCCTGAAGCGTCACTACAGACAGATCCTCCTCCATGGCTCCAAAGCCCTCACTCCCCCTTCCAGCCCAGACCAAGACATCTTGCCTCCCTCTCATCCTGATGTCTGTTTTCTCTTCCTGCACGGTGACTACGAGTTCATTCACCAGAGGATGGTGGCCCGGAGGGGACATTACATGAAAGCAGACCTGCTGCGCTCACAGTTTGACTCTTTGGAGCCTCCACTGGAGGAGGAGAACGTGCTGTCACTGGACATCAGGAGGAGCATCGCTGACATGGCTACGGAAGTCGAAAAGCACATTATCAGCTTCAAGTCGTCAACAGCGAAACTGAAATGACTGAACAACTGTGGGAGCTGGATGGCCATGAAATTTAATACAAACATTCATGGTGCTCAGAGCTGACTTTGGTGACCCCCAGACTTATCCAATAGCAACTTAAAGAATTTGACGTGTTATCCAGAGTGACATGTCTTCACCAGTCTGGTGTAATGAAATAATGCATGAATACCACAAGACATTTGGGGGATTTTTGAGTTCAAGCCTTTGCACCCATGCAGTGTGCACCCTGACTTTATGGATATTTATTCATATATCCTGAAAACTATTGAATGGATTGCTGTGAAATTTGGTGTACACATCCAGGGCCGGGCTGCAAGATGGAGCGATGTTTAGCACTGTTGCCTCGCATCTAGAAGGTCGCCAGTTCGCATCCTGTTGAGGACACCTGGGATCTTTCTGCGTGGAGTTTGCATGTTCTCCCCGTGCAGTGTGGGTTCTCTCTGGGTTCTCCAGCTTCCTCCCACACAGTCCAAAAACATATTGAGGTTAATTGGTGATTCTAAATTGTCCATAGGTGTGAATGTGAGTGTGCTTGGTTGTCTGTCTCTAAGTGTAGCCCTGTGATAGACTGGTGACCTGTCCAGGGTGTCCCCTGCCTTCACCCTGAGTCAGCTGGGATAGACTCCAGCCCCCCATGACCCTATTGAGGATTAAGTGGTGTATAGATAATGGATGGATGGACAGACGGACAGATGGATGGACATTCAGGGCCCCCATACAGTAAACTACACGGACTGATTTGATAATCCTGTGACATTTCATTTAGTGCCATTATCAGGTCAACATTTTTATCTCTCAGATTCTTGCATTTTTAATCAAATAGCTGCAGACTAACAACATTCCTGTCATCCTGAGGTGAACTGTTTAATGCTACTTATCAGTTATTTGCACGTGAGCAGCTGAACAGCTAAACGGAAGATGGAAAACACCAGCATTAAAGCGCTGTCGTTGTCGGCATGTTAACTTTCAGCTTAAATAATTAATGTGCCTAAACTGAGCTTCAGAGAGTTTCTTATATGTTGCCTTTAATCTCATAACAATCCTCAGTTAACACCTATTCTCTATCTAGTTTTTTTTTTTTTCATCTTAGTAAAGATGAAAAATGCATCACTGTTTCAGTTGTGGTTCAGAAAGCACAGAGAAGCATGTGCAGTGGTGGGAGTCTCGCTTTGATCCACTCATTAGTGCTTCAGCAGAGAATGAAGTAGAGAATCTGTGTGATCCTCTGGCGCATTTGTGATTCTGAAAACTTCTAGTTAGCCGAAAACATTTGATAACGCTGCCGAAGTGCCATTCCAGTAAATGGTGCCGAGTGTTTGAAACTGCAAAGGGTCTGAACTGGAACTACGAAAAGGGTTTTTACATTTTTATTTTATGGTTTTAATCTGCAGTAGAACACAGGATGGTGGTGGTGTAGTGGTCGAGCACTGTGAAGGTTCAGTGTTTTTACAGTAATTGCTCAGAACATCCTCAGTCTGATTACACATTTTTCTATCTTTAATAGTTGCAGTGGAGCTCCTGTTCCTGATCTGTCTGACCAGTTTGATCACATAAGCAGCAGACAAGCAATAAACCTTTACAATTAAGAAACTGGAACAAGGGAATGTCTGATTTTTTTAATGATTGTAAAAGCAGAAGATGATTTTCACTCAACAGAAAATAAACCTTCCTATTTCTAAGTTTGCCTCTTGTAACACAATTTTTTACCTTTAAATGACTTGTGATCTTTTGCATGTTACTGTTAAAGCGTTCTCACCTGCTCCTTAACAGACTTTAAACAATGTTTGTTCATCAGAAAGTCGATTAATTTAGCAGCAAGCAACTGCAAATTATGTTTTTATTCAATCTGTCAACTCAATTTCATGCACCGACGTCAAGAACGCCAAACAACAGTAAAACCGTCACACCGATTAAAGTCAAATGATTAAAGAGATTTAAACTGAACACCTTCTCACACGGATCATTCGTGATGCCTGTTTCCTGATTTATTGACGTCTCCAGATGACACACACACAGGTGACCCTGACGGTGACACACACACACACACACACACACACCCTCTGTCACACACCTTCTCTCGGTACTGTAGAGCTGTTTTTGTGGTGTGACTCATCTTCAAACCTCAACCTGAATATTTTTGGAACTTCTAATCCAGAAAACCCCCCCTTGGCTGCTCTCATATCTCACACATCCAGTCGCGCACACACACACACGCACACACACACACACACACACACACACACACACACTGCTGGAGATTAAAAACCCCCTCAGTCTGGCAGCAACAGACAAACACACACAGGTTGTCAAGCGGATCACATACTCGCATATCTGATGACGGGGTACGTGTCTCGATTGTCAGGTAGTTGTAGGGTCTGAGAGTGAGGACCCCACAAGCAGGAGTGGAAAGAGTCACTTTCTCTCACACTTATGACACACTTAACCCAAATCCAACAAATGTGTGAGTTGTTTGATGCTCAGAACACCGTAGGGGTGAACATGCAGATGCAAGTATTTGCCTCCTATCATACAATTAGGTTAAACAACTTGGGCCCTCAAAATCGCGTTTCAAAAGTCGATAAAATAATAATAAATAATAATAATAAATAACAAT